AAGGAAAAATTTTTACCGGTGAATAATTATATATTAAGTAAAATAAAAAAAAAGAAAAAAAAAGAAATATATATTATATTAATCGTCAATTTAGTTCCTTTTTCATTCTTGTGATTTTTCTCCCTGCCTACACATGTATACAACGTAAGTTCGAGCGGAATGTATATGTAATTACGTGCCAACTTTTGTATTCGTTCGTATATCTCTTTTAAAAGTTTTCAAACATCAATTTTCCGAGTGTATGATTAGTTTCATCGAATGAAAGTGAACTTTCAACGTAGCAAAGAGAAAAATTTTTATTGTTACGCCGAAAAATCAGAAAATAACGAAAACATCGATAAGCGTTGAAAAAATAAACTTGTCGCACAACGAGTTTTCATGCTTTACTCGTTTTTTTAGGGAATGCCCTTTCAGCCCCTTTCCCTTAACCCCACTAGTCCCAATAATTTTTCCATTTTCTTGCAATTATCATTACCAAACATAGATTTGTTGAATCCACCTGCGTGTAAATACTTGTTAACATACACAAGCGTTCGCGTATCACTGAGCGACCCAATTCTTTGAATCAAAGAAAATTTCTTTACCCTCATTCCGTTAAATATTTTCTTTTAATTGAAACAAATTTAGTCAATCCAAAAAAACATTTCGTACAACTAAATGAGAAATTCGTAATTAACAAAAGAAAATTTTAATTTAATAAAATATTATTTTCAATTAACTTATATTTTTTTACTCATAAGAAAATATTTAACGGAATGAGGGTAAAGAAATTTTCTTTGATTCAAAGAATTGGGTCGCTCAGTACAGATATTATATACGTATACATAAATATAGGGAAGAAAAAAAATATGCATATATATATATTATATAAAACACGTACAATTACATGTACGCGTACGTGCGTGTAAGTCTTACGAGAGGCCAATATGTGGGCGCGTGCGCACACACCTACACACACGGAGACGGACAGGATTATTAATAAACAGTGAAACAGTCGCAGACACATTAATATATATACAAACATACGACATACAGTCAGCCAACATCACGTGTACGACGGTATTTATTATGAACGCTTTGTCAATTAATGAATGAGGAAGAAAAGAAAAAATTTAATTATAATAAAAATATTGAATTTTTAACGCTGTCGTGTTGTTAATTTTTTTCGAGATCGACGTGTGCGCGCTTATGTGTATGAATTTTTCCCATAGTGAGTCACATATAGATAATCATCGTTTTCAACGATTTTCCACGAGAATAAACATAACGACGATGGATGAGAAAATCCAAAAACACACAGACAAACAAACAATACAAACAAACAAAATTTTAGAAAGCGTGAAAACCAAATAAATACTACTGTAAACGATAAGGCTAAAAATAAAAAATAAAAAAACACGAAGTTGTTTTTGAAGGTACGAGACTCTCTGACGCGAAAAGAGTGTCTCTCGTACGAATATATATGTATACACCTAGTTTTTATTTCCATCAGAGCGAAAGAGAAAAAAAAATAAGAAGAAAAAAGGAAAAAAGCAACCATTGACTTCCATTTTAAGACGCTGTAAAAGTGAACAAAAAAAAAGGTGACGATTCTTTTTTGATAAAATTTCATTTTAAGATGTAATTTTGTAAGAAAACATTTTTCGTTCTGTTCGTAGAACGCGCGACTGTACATTGAACGCAGTTGGTCATTAAAGGAGAAAAAAAAAAAAAAAATGTTACATTAATTACCATGTGAATGACTTTTTTATTATTATTTCAACCTCTTTATTTATACATGATAGTTACAATAATACAGCACAACACATCAATCTGAAGCCTAATAGAAAGAAAGAAAAAAAAAAAAAAATCGAAAGGCCAAGCGACGTCTCTCTGCTCATCACTCGTCCATCCCGTAATCGTTTCCATGCTCGAGCTGGGACATCAACCCATCGACCGTCTGTTGTTGGTCCAAGCTTTGAAAATCTACAAAGTAAAAATGATTTTCATTTTCGTATAATCGGCCCAAAATGGATAAACGACGAGAGCAACATTATATTTATTATAGTACTAGGCGTGATGACGAAGAATGCCCAGGGTGCGTTGGAGTCCCTTCGCTGGGCGGAGAGGTTGTTCAGGCCCTCCTCCTTTTCCTCCTCTGCCGCTGAAATCAAGCAGCCCAATGACTTTTCCGCACAGACAAGGAATAATCGTATACCGATGTACTCAAACGTCATAGGTTTGCAACACAGACGATAGAAAAAAAATTACGCGTCACCAATGGATGTGCTCATACTCGTAGCTCGACAACCAAAAAAGTTTCGTCGGATTGCGTTTGAGGATAAAAGCGATATTTATACCTATAAAATACGCAAGTGCTGTACAAACAAAGGAGATTCAATTGTTCAGGCAATTAATCGGATCCCGTGGTCAATCGGCGTTTGTAATGATCGATCGATCGCCATTTACTTCTCTAGGTATTGATTACATGTAAATACTATACGCATAAGCGAGTATACCTCGACGACGGTAAGCCGCCGAGTTGGCGGAATCGTTGCTCGCGTCGTCCAGCCAGCCATCCTCGTGTATCCACTTGCTCGAGCCGGACATGGTTGGATCGGACCTGCCGATTCTCGGCTGCTTGATCAGCCCAAAACTCCTGGCGACCCTCTCGAAATCGGGATCCTGTCGACGGCCGATTCTCGGGAACGGAAAGAGTCGTATTCTCCTTTTGCACACTGTACAGGTAATATACCAGGTAATACAAATAACAAAAAATAATACCTGCTCACGCGTGCACGATCAACGGAACGATTGAACATATATACATCTAACGACGATTTTATCGCCACATCAAATCCACGTGACATTTAACGGGCGATGACACTGAAGGAGGAAAAGAAGAAAAAAGAAATTGTCGCAATCATGCGTATACATATTGCGTATAGATACGGATGAATAATCAACCGATACAAACCGGGACAAATTGCCAGCGTACAGGACAAACATAACGGCACCAACGGAATAATAATTATTCAGGAGGGATGAGAGGGGTAAACGGCGCGCCTGCATTATACATATGCACACCGTGTCTGTATGATGGGTGAGGTATACGTATACATGTGTACCTATACACCGGGGGAAACAAATCATAATGAAAGCGGTAAATAAGTTACCTCCTCCTCCTCCACATTGGCCCGCATGTGTTGCAACTCCACATTCCCCGTTTATCGGGGAATCAATAAACCACATTTAAACCCGATTAACTTAAATCATCGCTACGGCTCGTTAAGCCTCCACCCTTTCCAGACCAGTAACGGCGTTATTAGCTGGTAACGGAGAGGCAAAAAAAAACACAGATCCATATTGGTGGGGAAAAAGTATGTACGTATACACGTACAGAATGGAGAAGAAAAAAAAAGATATCAGAGCTCGTAACAAAACTCGCATCACAATACAATACTGTACGATCATATTAAAATCGGGAAATTATGAGCGACGAGTTCTGAAACGAGGATGGCCCTTTTTTTCATCCCACGCGTTTCACCAAGCTCTTTCAAATTGCTCTTGCTGTTGTTGATGACGAGCCATTAACCAGGGGCGGGGGGGGGGGACGATTAGTCGAGTGAATGCTAATTGGTGTAATTGTGTATACAATATATACACACAGAGAGATCAAAAGAGTTGGCGATAAATGGAAGGTAGATATATACACAAGAGGGAAAAAAACGGCACTTTGTGCAAGTGGAGTGACGGTAGGATATAATACTACACCTGAAGCTGGAATCCCTCGGGGGCACTCGGGAGCGTTGCTTTTGAGAGCCTCGGCAGCAATGGCTGTAACATTAAAAAGTACGTGTAAAAAATAATGTCACGCGTGTGTTTATGCGCGCAGAAGATTATCGATATCGTCGTATTATTTTTTGCCTCGTATATGGTATTCGTGGAAAGGATTCACTCGCAGCGTCATCATTAGCGAGCTTTTACGAGCGTATACGAGAGACGCGGACGGTGCAAAAGCTTCCAAGATAAAGCCGAGCTAAACGTGAAACGAAAAGCGCTTGTAGGTGATATCGATGCTGTGCCAACGGAAAATCGCACTTCTCGAAATGAGATTGTCCTCGTTAGTCCATGTGCAACTTCATATGTATATAATATATACGCTCGGAAAAAAGTGTAATATCTGGCGCGTATAAAGGTTTTCACGAATAAAAATTGCACTCGTCTGGGACAGTACGCAGATAAGGTCGGGCACGTATATGCGGCAAACCAGTATCTGTTGACTCTCTGGGAGCAGTTTTTATTTATTTATTTTTTTTTTTTTTATATGTATAGTTTTTTGCGTTATTAGTTCGGATGATGAATCGGTTATCTCTGCGAGCTGACCTCTCCCTCGCTCCTCTGGCACATCTTGATTTGACGCGCGATACGATGAATGGCTACGTGACTTTTATTTTTTTTATTTCAGAGAAAAAGCCGTGCCATGTACGGTAAATGCGCGTGTCGAGGGACAGATGGACGCGTGTCTATGAAAAATGTGCGCGGGATTTTTTCGTTGATTAAGTAGTTAGTGATGGACCATCGGCCGGAGGAAAAACGCGAGCTCGAGTTATAGTACTCGAATTAATACTCTTGATTAGTTTTTCGCTCGTGCCATGGGAAATTGAAGGCGCGTCGATTTCTTTTTCTTTTTTTTTTTTTTTTTTTTTTTTTTCATCAAAAGATACATTTCGTTTGATGTCGAGAAGATTAAACAACTGATGAGCTGCACCGGTGCAACAAAAAAACGAAAAAAACTTACCGTCAAGGCAGGCGCAGAAGAGCGCGAGTAGCAGGCAAACAGCCGGATTGAACTTCATGTCGCGGAACAGGACTATCTCGCTCTTTCGGACGAAAAAGGCAACTGCAGGTCTTGATTCCGACTCGCGGGTGTTATATACCCCGACAAAAGGGCTACGCAGTATTTCTGGACCCCTGCCCGAAAACCATCGACTCATTGCGATGCGAGGAGGCGATTGGGTTCTATTTCGAGCGCAGGAGGTATGCAAGGATTGATTAAAAGGCCGATGGGGTGTGACCTGGAAGTTTTCAGTATTTTTTTTTTTTTGCTTTTTTCTTACCAAAGGAATGGTCCAATTTGTACAAAGTAGAAATTTGAGCTGCAATTTGGATGCTAAGTGGGTAAACACAATCGTTTCCAGTCGAATACAAAAATCTCATCAGTTTACCCCCTGATGACATCGTGCGAATAATGCTTTGCTTTTCCCATGCAAATGTTTGGGTCCATCTCCGTTGAAAATCATTAACGTGATAGGTATGATTAGGTGTGGATACTTTGAAATTAAACATATGTAAGGAACACCAATCTGTCCATGCAGTTTGGCAACCAATCAACTTTCAATAAACAAACTTGTCATCACATCGCAATTTCGTAGAGGAAAGATAAAAATGAGGTCATTGTGTGAACTTTTTTTTTATTAACTTCCGCTTGTGTAGACAAAATTGTATAAAAATTATTATATAGAATGTACAAATCAATTTGTTTCCGCGGGCTAATTTACGTTTCGATACTTGATTGTTTGTCGAGAATATTCCTCACGCTGTACTTGTACAATTCCCCATTGATTCTCTTGAGCCTCTCTATCTCCGCCCGAGCGTCTTCCAATTCTCTTTGAGTTTCGTTGCAGTCTTGTGGGTTCTTTGTGTTCAAATCATCCGCTTGGCCCTCAAAATCTAGAATCCAGGCATCGTCTTCATTGTTTTTGTGGACGTCAAGCATAAACTCAATGTTTCCTACATTGGATACTCTCTGCAGGGGTTTAACTTCCAAGCTTGGCTGAAGGTTGTTCACGGAAAAGTTGTCATAAGCTGGTACAAAGAATGCCGAGACAACCGGCGCTTTGTGCTTTAGTGTCAAAATAATTTGACAACTCGGGATATCCCACAAATGCACCATTCCATCAGTGGAGCCGGTGAGTAAAGTAGAACAGTCCACAGAAACTGCTAAAGATGTAATGCTACTTGTGTGTTCTTTGAAAACAACAATTTTGTCGTCGTTTGCAGCAACATGGTGCTGTATTCCTCTAGGAGGATCTCTCAGACTGCACTTCATAACCACACCGGTGGATGAGCCAACATAAAGCTCGTTTTCCATGATATCCGTGCAAAGTGCTACAAGAGGAACATCAAACACTAGCGTCAGAAGCAAAAGACTCGAGTGAACGTCATATATTCTTGCAGATTTGTCTAACGAAACAGAATATAACCTTCCAAAATCTACAATATGTCCAAATTTGAGATCCTTTACAGGCAACGAGTGATGATTAAACGAGTTTAGTGGCTCAGCTTGTTTAGAATTAGCGACTTGACTCAAAGACCAAACAAAAATAAAACTATCCTCAGCACCACTAGCCAAACAGGACCCATCTTTACTGAACGTCAAACAACTTATGGTCTGGTAATGCCTAGCAAACGAATTGATCAATTGACCATTGCATGTCTGCCAAATGTAAATCTTTTCACCTATGGCCGCAGCTATGTAAGAACCATTGGACGTACAAGCTAGGGCAGTCACTTTGCCAGGTGTACTTAATCTTAAATTTGGAACTAGCGTCTGACTGTTTAATGGCCACAAAAACAAATTTGGTTTTGTTGCACTGGATGCTATTACGTAAGAGTCTTTTAATAATTGCAACGAATGATGTCCCAAAGCACTGGCATGCTTGTAAGTTGATAGAAGAGATCCAGTGCGCGGATCCCAAGCTGCTGCACTCCAATTTTCGCAGCCACTGTCACAGGTCATTACCAGTTCGTGTGGACACCGCATTTTTTAAATAAAAATGATACCGTTACCTAAAAAAAATTTTAAGTTGTATGAAAAATTCGTTCATTATTCTTCCTTTAGAAAAATTTAAGTGACTGGGTGAGTAATCACGTTACCTTGTTTGTTGACGACTACCAGTACTTTCGGGCACGTGCAGCAGGTTTTCAAGTTGACCAATTTGTGTAGCGTCACTTCGATTTCATACCGACACAAATAAATTACAAAATTATAAAAATGCAAATTACCGTATTTGTCAACAGTACTCGAACGTCACGTGTAACTATGCAGATGAACTACGTAACCTATATGTGTGTACAATCTTTGAAAAAAAAAAAAAAAAGAAAGGAAAGATACATGCAAAAAATTAAATAATTATCAATAATCGACATAAAGATGATTTAATGTAATAATGCATTGATAAAGTTCATTTTAATTCATGAAAAATAAAATGTCTACTCTAAAAATTTCAAATCCCGGCAAAACTGTAATAATCGATATAATTTCGAGTACTCGATATATTACAGAGGTTCAAGTGCTGTGAATCAGCGCCATCTAGCGTTGCGGATTTCGCGGACTGCCGCAAACTATTTTCTAGGGGAACCGTCTTGAAAAACTCCCTAGATTCTAGTAATTTTTGGAAGAAGTAAATCACTAGATAAATATAGATATAGTACAGTAGCTCAAAAATCGACGACGTGAAGGGTCCGTTTGTGCTTCGAAATAAATACAGCTCGAAATTGATGGTCACTTGACTATTAAAAATATTAAAATTTTTTTTTTTTTGCTAAAAATGTAACAATTGTCACCCACGCATGCCTCGCGTTGGTTATATATATAATTGCGTATATTGAAGCACGCAAATACACCCTCGAAGTTCGTCGGTCGAAAATGCATTTGGATCTAGCGCCATCTAGCGATGCAAACACTGCTGTGTGCTGTACCGACGGTCAACACGAGATAAGAGGGAGACCTGCAGTTCGACCGAGTCAGCCAGCCGTCGGTACAGCACGTATATCGACAGTTGACCGACGCTACCGACGACGAGGTATATTTAGACTGATAATATATACGTATGGAGTCGTGGGTGGCAATTGTTACATTTTTAGCAAATGTATTTTTAGTAATGCATGTGACCATCAATTTCGAGCTGTATGGCGTATTTCGAAGCACAAATGGACCCTTCACGTCGTCGATTTTTGAGCTACTGTACTATATCTATATTTATCTAGTGATTTACTTCTTCCAAAAATTACTAGAATCTAGGGACTTTTTCAAGACGGTTCCCCTAGAAAATAGTTTGCGGCAGTCCGCGAAATCCGCAACGCTAGATGGCGCTGATCCTGAAATTCCCTAGCGCACACACATTGTCACTAGGCTGTCTGGAGAGAAAAGAAGCGCGCGAAAACGGTGTGTGCTCTCATATACAAATTGTTAAGAAAAAATACTTATACGTACCAATAGTACCTACAGTTAGATCTTTAAAGTAATACTATACAAAAGTAACTCTATTGTTGGAAACATGTCAATAAGTTTGCACATAAATAAAAAAGACATGACGATGGAAAAGGAGCCAGAGTTACACTCGATACCTTGTAAGATATTCGCCGATGATAAAGCCAATGTAAACACGTATTTCAAGCCTTACATCAAAAACATTGACGAAGAGTGTAAGTTTTTATCAATAGTTTGCAAGTAACTAGCGTTTTATAAAGTGTTATTAAAAGTTCTAGATCTCATGAATTCCTTTATTAAAAAATTTTTATCACTTTAGACTTAAAATCGTCGTTCAGAGGTTATCCGCTCCAGGGTAAAAAAGTAGCAGTACCCAAAGGATATACAGGTGTGACGTTTTACGAGTACAAAAAGCCTGAAGTCGACGGAGCTGATCGCAATATCTACGCTACAGCAACGTTCAAGGAGTTCACTTACTGGAATTACGATAAGTTGCCTTCCAAAAATGATGCCTTTATATCTGCATTAGACTGGATTGACATTGCTGAAGCAGTATGTAAACATTATACCCACCTTTTCATTCATACGATTTTTTGTTGTATTTTACAATTTACACGCTTGCTTTGTGATTTGTAGCTGCATTCTACAGAGCAGGAGTCTACAGCTGTGTGAGGAAAGAAATAAGGCTGTAGTATTAAATGGATAGTAACTTTTATTTTTTCACCTATTTATTGTAATTATAAAATGTTAATAAAGTATGGCGACGATGTTTTTTTTTAAATATATATTTTATAAATTGTAATTGAAACGAGTCTTACGAATTATTTAAAAGACAATATAGAATCGAGTATACAGTATTTGCTTACGCCATGACACATTTTTTTATATAAATTCATTGATAACTATATGCATACAATGCTTTACATACAATCATTAAATTAGTATTTGCTTCAATAGTCTAAGTACAAATCATGGCAGCTCACAGCATTAATTAATGGACAGTATATTTTTATTACTAAAGAAGATGAAAGAGATCAAGCTCAAATACTTGGTATTTGTGATCTTCAAGTTCACTTTTATGTTCATTCATTGTTTGTCATTAGACCGTTTTATTCTCCTCTGTATACCACTTGGTACAAATTCTATATTTACACTATTAAGCACAAAAATGTTTATATCGACATCAGCTTGCTTGCTGTTTATTATTATTATTTTTTAATTTTTGCTAATGAAATATGAGTAATATCTCAAGTGTTTTTGGTGATAAAAGTTACAATGATCTATTACTTGCCATTTAGTTCTGTATCATCAAAATATTTACTAAAAAAATGATGATTACTCATTTACGTTAAATGATGTAAGATTCATAAAAAGATCATGCAAAGTATTAAAAAACATTGTTTTTAACAGTCAAATCTAATGTTATAATATCATAAAACAGTCTTTTAATTTAATCTTTGTTTGAAATAAATAAGAAATACTGATTAAATTGGATTAAAATTTCAAAGTGTAATATGTAACAGATTCGACTATTTTTATAACGTGAGAAAACTATACAAATAGGAATAATTCCAGTTTTTATAATACATTTCAATGAAAAGTTTTATTGATAAGTTATCACTGATTATTCACAGTAACAGTCGTCATATCGACACAAGTATATCAGAAATCAGTTGAACCTACTTTCAGTATCCTCTGTATAAAAAAATAAATTTGTAAAACTTGAAAACTTAAAATAAATGGATTATCGCCTTTACAAATTATAAACTTAGAGTCTGTAAATTTATTTACCTATCCTATCATCCAAAAATATTCATAAATTGAATTCCAAACAAAACTGCTCAAATAAAAATATGACACTTAGGTACATTCAATATGTTAAGAATGACCCAATACAAATAATTTATTAGTATTTTTGGATGATGTTTCTTATCTGTTAAGAGTCTATTTAGTTCTTATTAAAATAATGACTAGTCCAGAGTTCCTAAGTGTGCACTTAGTTGCGCGTAATCGTAACAATGTACCTAAATAATGTGCATACCCTGTATAGATATATACACACGAGTTAAAAAAATTAATCTATGTATAGTCATTCAGATCTTGATGATACTTGGTCTGTTCTTGCTGCTGCTTGATAAAAGCACTCAGCCTGTTGAGCAAGAACTGTTTGTCGTGTCCCTCGAGTACCAGCTGATTCTTCAGAACCGTCACCATGTTCTTATTTGCCATTGAAACCGCGTAATAATAGTATAACAGTAGAGAGAGCACTAGGAAAGCCGGTATGCCAAAACCAGCTGTGCCCAGAAAAGATACAATGGATCTGATCCAGCTTGGCAGCTGCAAGAACGTGGTCACTACGAGGCTCCAAGGCGAGTCGAGCTCCTTAAAGGGTCCACAGGCCTTGGACGGGCTAAATTTGACCAGACAGTAGCCGATCGGGACGACGACGAACACGTAACAAATCAACAATATGAACATGAACAAAGAATGGGACCTGCTTGCTCGGTAGACATGATTCGAGGGCCGACAATTGACGAGGCATTCAAACTTTTTGATATAAAACAGCAAAAAAGAGCCAATGATACCAAAGAAAGGTAGAAACGGTGCAAAAAACACACCCAGCCAGCAGATTGTTTGCAGATAAACAATGTCCAGGACGTGTTTGCATAAATCAAATTTCTGATGACCAATAAATCGTAAGGCTTTGTTCTCGGAATGTTTTCCAATGAGCGATCTTGGGAAATTTATGAAGAAAGTCACAAAGAACTGACCAACAATATCGGTTATGTAGAGCTTCAAAAATTGTTGTCCTACAAATGTTTCCCAGCACAGGAGCTGCGCAGAGTTCATACATTCGTCATCATCTATTTTGGCGTTTAATTTAACGTAGAAGCTGCTGAGAAGAACGACAAGAGAGGCTAGCCTGAGAAAAATTGTGCGTAACAGTGTGATTTTGATGACTGAAGGAGGACTGTAACTTTCAAGGCTTATCAGGTGTTGAAAAAACACAGGTACGCTGATATTTAGGAGAAATATGCAGATGAATGGCAAAAATTCAAAGAAAATCTGATAAACCGTATCAAGGTTCATTTCGCTAAAGATGTCACGTTGAGTCATGTCCACCCTTAAAGAAGCTTGCTCGAAAGAAAAGCGTATTATAAAGAAAATAAAGACACCGCATGAGCAAAGAATCAAGAGTACGAGCGCATTGACGAAAATACGCACCAGGCACAGTTTGAATTTTTCTTCGCAGGTACGATTCTGACGCTCTTCCTCGAATCTCTCAGATTCCATGAGCACTTTTATTTCGTTATACAGTGCTCTGTGTTTCGTTTCTGAAGCGTTTTCATTATTGATGCAATAGTCCCAACCGCCAAAAACGAGATTGCAGTACCGATAAAACTGACCCTCGCCTTCCACGACTCTTTCTCTGAAACCCTTGACCGATGACCTGACCACCGCAACCAAACTTACCACGAAAACGAGCATCATTACGCACATGTAGGCTAGTGGTAAATCATAGTGATATTCATTACTATTGCCGTAGTATGACAGAGAAGGGTATGCCCCGTAAAACAAAAGGCTGTATTCAAAAAGGTGGCTGCCTTGAAAAAAGTCTAAAAATGTATTAAACTCCCGTGACTTGTTCCAGTACTGTTCTGTGCAGCAATAAGTTGAGACTGTGTCGTTTGTCGAGGCACACGTTTCGTTTCTTGGAACTTCTAAAAGTGTTGTGGGTAAAACAAGAAATACCGAAATCATACCGAACAGAACAAGGTTCAAAAAAAGAATCCACTTTATAAATAGGAAAAAGGCAACTATACCCATCCCAAGATTACCGCCTATTTTCTTGAGACTCGTACTCCACAGTTCCATTTTCGAGTAGGCCTCGTTTGCTTTGATGCAAAATGTTTGCCATGCTTTTCTTCGTTGCCATTTCAGCTGATCAAAGCCTTGTAGTCGTAATTTTGTTGCACTCTGCAAGTATGCATATTAAATTTGAAATAATGTTTCGCCATACGTGAAATATAATGTAATCACTTACCTGCAGTTGTCTTTTCATCTCGATTTTCTGTGCCATGCAAACCGGCATTGACTTGATTTGCATGATTTCCTCCCAGGTGCGCTCTTCGTTGGACAGATTTTCCGAAAGGTCGGGTAACATAGAAACAGCAGCATCCTGAACATTTGTGGACATTCTTCTCACCGTACTCGTTGCACATCTCGAACGCGTGCTTGTGCGTCTTCTGAGTGTCGTGCGAGGTTCATGCCTGACTCTTTTCTGAGTTGTAGCTAAACATGTAAACAAATCATTGACAAATCGTAAATAATGTACAAAAAAATTGGATGAAAAATGCATAAGTACTGTTAAACTGGATTTGACCAAAAGAATTGAGCTTTACTGGTAATCTCATAAACTAGAGAGACAAAACTTTAATATATTGGAATTGAAAAACTGACCAACTCGAGATTTCTTGCTTGGCAGGAGGGTTGCTATGTGAGACGGATCCCTCTGCAAAGCTTGTTGGAGATCAGCCTCGATGGCAGCAGCAGGGTAACTCTCCTGGTAAAACTCGGCACCAGCCTCCTCCCAACCCTGTCCGCGGTCGCCCGTGCGCTTCTTCCTGTCACCACCAGACATTTTTTCCACTCACGCGAAATTCGAGGGATGTGTTCCACTCCTCCGTTATATTTATACTATGCTTCAAATGTGCACTCTTGATGCAGAAGCACTATCAGCAGCTGCTTCAACGACAGCCTAGGATCACCTGCAGAACTCATATTCTCAGCACAAAACATTACTCAGCAAAACTCAAATAGGAATTTGAGAGCATGATCACAGTGACACCAGATCAAACAAATCAGTTTGTAGAATACTGCACAAGTTAAAAAACAATAACACTAAGCTGAACCAAGGTCAAAGTCTTGGTTTGCATTGCAGTTTTTTAATCGTTTATCCACGGGGTATTAAAGAGATGACAGAATTCACATTAGTTAGACACGCTCTCTTTCTCTCTTTGCCCACCAGTAGATTAGGCCTCATTTTTTATTTATTCTTTTAGAAGTGAAAATAAATATTTTCCTGTGATGTTATCTTCACGCCCGACACTTTCTCATCGACATGATGCAAACACGCCATGCTCCAAAATAAATACTTTTGTAAACCCGATTCCTAATAAATGAAGGAGACAGAAAAGGGAAGGACTAAACGATGAGGGGCTACACCTGGGTTACTAACGACTGTATATATGACATTTTTACAGCGGTACGTACAACTGCACCCAACATCAACATGTAGTTGCAGATGATGCAGGCAAACACAAACATCGGCAGATGATGAGGCTCATTTCGCGAGAGATGAGCAAATGAGTGTTCTCGTGAGCACGGCTATCATACAGTAGTCGACCTGAAATACACAATAAAATAATCTGTTGTAATCTGAGCTCTGTCACGAAAATGAATGTGTAAAATATTGGGATTTATGGAATCATGGGCATTAGGACACAGCTGTATATAGGTACAATTATACAATATACATTACATACCACCGCAGTCTACCAGCACCCACTGCATGGTAGAGACACCCCACGGTGTTGCCAAGGCGTCTCGAGTCGAGTCTGTCTGCTACACCTACAACGTATATAAGTACGACAATTTGGGATCTGATCTCTGATTTGGCATGGGACATGGGATATGAGGGCGTGGATGACATTTTTGAGGCGGGCTGCCCACTGATAGCCAGATCTCAAATGGCCCAACCTGGCCCAAACCAACGTCTGGCCGCAAGTGCGGGTTTAATACGGCGCTGACTTTGGCGCAACTTGGCCTGACTTACGCCCTGTGATTGCCAACTTTCGTTTGTATTGTTACTATATACTTGTTTCTTGTAATATGTAGCAGGTGTAGCACATTGTGGCATAATTACAGTCAGGTCATCATAACAAAACTTTTTTTACAAACTTTGTAGAGACTTCAGCAAACGAGTTTACGAGTATGACCTTTTTATTAAACTGTAACTGATGTGTATCAGTGTACCTGTTGGAGGTTACCACGACCTACGTAACTTAACTGCTGGTAGCATTTGCGAAATACAGCCTCTGATTTTATCATTCTGGTAAAGAGAGTGTAAGTTATGTGTAGTAATATAGTAATCACTACTAAGTATAATGCCATAGGGTCGATTTTATATTTAATCATGCGAATATCTATACTTTTGGAGGTCGATTTTCGGGTAAGCAATAAAATGTAAACTTGCCGCAAGTAGCATAAAAAAATGTAAACTTTTTATTGTCTATCTAAAAAATTAGTTGCGGCTGGTTTATAATTAATAAAGTGACTTCACTGTAAATAGCAATAATTATTTGGATCAGCGCCATCTAGCGGTCTTTATTTTTTAGCGAAAAGTGGCCTCTAAAATTCTCAATCTGAGCAATCAGGCTTAGAGCTATTTAATTAATTATAAACCAGCCGCAACTTATGAAGAAGCTATAAAATAAAAAAATAACGATACATGTGTTTTTGGCGGCAAGTTAACAATCTATTGTTTACTCGAAAATTTATCTTCAAAAGTATAAATACATAGTAGGTCGATTTTTTGGTAGAAAATAAATTGTTAACTTGCCGCCAAAAACACACGTATTGTTATTTTTTCATTTTATAGCTTCANTATTGTTTACTCGAAAATTTATCTTCAAAAGTATAAATACATAGTAGGTCGATTTTTTGGTAGAAAATAAATTGTTAACTTGCCGCCAAAAACACACGTATTGTTATTTTTTCATTTTATAGCTTCATCGTAAGTTGCGGCTGGTTTATAATTGACTAAATGGCTCTACGCGCTAAAGCTCTAGTTCAAAAGTTTAGAGCCACTTTTTAGTTCAAAAATCCGCAACGCTAGATGGCGCTGATCCAAATAACTAATACCATGATTTATAACTATACTTACGGTAGAGTCATTTAATCAATTATAAACCAGCCGCAACTACTCTCATATAGGTAGAAAATAAATAGTTGACATAGTTTGTGCTATTTGCGGCGTGTTATATATAGCAGTAGTTGAACAACGCTCTCTCTACGCTCATTGGTGGAAAATCCAATATGGAAGCCTGAGTGGCTGATCGGTTCGGTTTCGGTGGCTGACGAGCATTATTTAATGACAATGGTTGACATGACATGTTAGTGACAGTAACCTTTATGTTACTGACCGTAATTTTCACTACAGGAATCCTCTTCACCGACTTCACCCAACGACCCAAAAGGGTATCTGGGTGTGTACACTATTATAAATATATATATGGTGAGATGTGAGATAATATGTATATATAGGACAGATTTTCCGAAAGGTCGGGTAACATAGAAACAGCAGCATCCTGAACATTTGTGGACATTCTTCTCACCGTACTCGTTGCACATCTCGAACGCGTGCTTGTGCGTCTTCTGAGTGTCGTGCGAGGTTCATGCCTGACTCTTTTCTGAGTTGTAGCTNTAACAGACGAAATTTAAGATGTCAATTGATTACTGCTTATACTATATATATAAAACTGACACGCGAAAAAAATACTTGTAAACTTAATCATCAACTGTCAATATCAATAATATTGAACTTTGCTCTTTCCAGATGTGGCAAAGTCTAACAGCTTAACACTTCATCGTTGATTTGCTAGAGCCTAATTACCAAGCTGTTAAGTGTGTCCTTGAACTTTATAATTCTTGTTTTGTGCTTGTGACTCGATTGATTGATAGTTTGTTAAAAATAAAGAATTTGGTATCTCTTTGGTTCTGATAATTATTTTTAATTTCTCATCACTCTTGTGCTTGATTACTATATGAGTATTTCAATTGTTAAATGTTTGGCTTCAGCTCTGTCAGCATCATTTGGTTAACTGACATCTGTAAAAAATGGCGTGGCTAGGAAGTATTGCTTGTACTGTGCTCAAAAATATTGTCTTCTCTGAGGTACCTGCAGACCAAGTGCTCGAAATTAAGACAACCGAATACCACAAGAGAAATATACACTGTCGCGAAGATGGCATTATTTTATACTCACCAGGCAGTAGAGAGAAGGAAAAATTTGAAATTGTATTGCACAAGCCATACTCGGAAAAATTACACTACACCGGATATAGGTATTTTGCTTGCACACAACATTTCCAGAATGCTTACTATTAAAATATGATTTTTTTATATTTTTGATACTTATATTATGTTCTTTATAATAGCCTATATCGCTCCAACATTCTTGAAAAAGTGGAACTCAGATTTACAATTTTAAAAGATAAAGTTCCCTTGCTTGTGGAATTGTCTAAAGAGGTATGTTTTGCAAATGTAAATACATTACTAGAGATAAAAAAATATAAACATCTATTTTTATTTTTAGATGTCTAATGTAAATAAAATACAAAGCTTATGTGATACACTAGTCGAACATCCAACTTGGAATTTAGCTCACATTGCTGCTCATTTATTGCTCTATGATGCTTTTGATTCGGATATAGTCAACAGTTGTTTAAACAGTGGTGATTCGGAAACTGGAGCATCCCCTTTGCAAATTGCTATCAAATCAAACAATTTACAAATTGTACAAATGTTAATCGCGGCAAATAGTTCCAGGGAACATTTAGATTTCAAAGCCAATACAGTTTATCATTATGCTGCTAGTTCAACCAAAGACATCATCATGGCACTAGGAGCTGATCTTCCAAATACTTTGAACAGTAGAAACAGCGATGGTTACACACCAATGCATCTTGCTTGCCTTAGTGACAAGCCAGACTGCGTGAAAGCTCTTTTACTCATTGGTGCCGATTGCAATCTTTCTGCATCAGAAGGTAATTTTACACTTATGTTGATTTTAATTTATGGTTCCTCTTGACTCTTGTAATGTAACATGATTATTATTAGGAACTGCATCAACTCCTGGCTATGTAGGTGATTTCATTCACAATCAACCATATAGCTTGAAACATGATGATATGAAATTTGGAGGTACTCCATTGCATTGGTGTTGCAGCAAAGAAGTCATAAACACATTATTGAGTAAGAACTGCGATATCAATGCATTGAACTTTGATGGCAGAACAGCACTTCACATGATGGTTATCAGAAAGAGACTTGATTGCGTAGCAGCTCTGTTGAGCCACATGGCAGACATAAATATAGTCGACAAAGGAGGAAACTCCCCGTTACATTTAGCAGTAAAAGAGGTCAGATTATATGTTTCGTATCGGAATAAAATATACTGAATTTAATTTTTGTTTAGCGTTGTTCTTTTTTTTTTTTTTTCGTCACCCATTACAGTCAACTCCAGCAATAGTTCAGTTACTCATAGCATTCGGTGCAGAAATAAACGCTCGAAACTGGCAAAACGAAAGCCCGCGGCATCTCGTGAACAAGGACAGCGCCGACGGTCAGAAAATCTTGTATATTTTACACGCAGTTGGTGCAGAACGATGTACACGAGACGTCATTGGATGCGACGTTGGCTGCAAGTACGACGAAAATTTTAACGGGATCGCACCACCCGAGGCCCCCTCTGCTGTGCCACGTACCGCTGTTGATGACATGCTCCACGCCTCGACCATAGCAAACATGGCTTTGACAGATCGTAAGCGCTTCAAAGGTGGTAGGCTTTTGTGCATGGATGGCGGTGGTATCAGGGGCTTGGTGCTCGTTCAGACGTTGTTGGAAATCGAAGCCGTACTGAACAAGCCCATTACGAATTGTTTCGATTGGATAGCTGGAACGTCCACTGGGGGCATTTTGGCACTCGGGCTGGCAGCCGGCAGAAGTCTAAAAGAGTGCCAAGCTCTGTATTTTCGAATCAAAGATAACGCCTTTGTGGGTAAGAGGCCCTATAGCAGTGAACCCTTGGAAAACGCGCTGAAGGAGTGTCTGGGCAGTGAGACTGTTATGTCGGATATTCGGCATCCGAAGCTCATGATCATGGGTGTGCTTGCGGATCGCAAGCCCGTCGATCTGCACATTTTTCGAAACTACCACTCGCCAAGTAATATTCTAAACGTCGCGACGGGCGACCAATTCAAGGATACCTTGCCACCCGAAGAACAGCTGCTGTGGAAGGCAGCCCGGGCTACAGGAGCAGCGCCCTCGTATTTTCGCGCTTTCGGACGGTTCCTGGACGGTGGACTCATCGCCAATAACCCCACTCTGGACGCCATGACCGAGATACACGAGTATAATCTTGCTCTGGAGGCTAGCAATAGGTCAAGCGAGAAGACACCTCTGTCATTGGTGGTGTCACTGGGTACCGGTGCGATTCCCCTTTCGCCGCTTCAAAATGTTGATGTGTACTGGCCCGAGGGTTTGTTGGATACGGCGAAATTAGGTAAGGAGATTTCTCAAAAGTAAAAGCTTTTGTATAAGAAAAAAAAAGAAGAAAAAAGTAAATGTACTGAATGTTTTCAGCATCGCGTCTTAAAACATTCGCAACTCTACTCGTGGACCAGGCGACGGCAGCGGACGGTCGCGTTGTGGATAGAGCGAGGGCCTGGTGCTCTATGATTGACGTGCCATACTACAGATTCAATCCTCAAATGTCGAGAGAAATTAACATGGATGAAGATAATGATGCCATACTGGCTGAAATGCTCTGGGAGACCAAGGCCTTCATGCACACCAATCGCCACCAAATCAAGCATCTCGCGGATGTTCTGGACTTCATTTGTAACTGTTAGTTGTCCATTAATTACAGACTCTGTAGGTATATTTCTTAATAGGAGAATCTAGTGAGTCTTTTTAACCCAGAAAAGAAATTTTTAAGTGGCACCTTTAAAAAAATTCGAACTTTAACTTATCCAATTAACTGATTCATAAATATATGTATGCACACATTTATTTTTTTTACAACGGATTTATACGTACGTCCAACGATTAATTTTAGCAGTTGTATAGGAATAAGAATTTAAAAAGAGAACAAAAAAAAACATAACAAATACAGAAAATACTTGAAGTGTTACGAAATAAATATACAAATAATAGTTTGTTGGTTAAAAATATAGCAAATCGACGTGATACTGAGATTAAATTTTCACGAGTTATGCAAGGATTTGCATCAAAACGATCCAAGGCCGAAAAAGTACAGAAAATCTCTTCTCCTTGTCTGCTTTACTTACAGCCGTGGGTTGTATACGATTTTTCATGTCCCAGCAGCTGTAACGTAACGGTAATGTTCACTTTGCAAGCTGGTGGCATGAAACATTATTTTCATACCCAAATGGGATTAATAGTTAATTATTTAAACAATCGATTCAAATGTGTATATATACTTTATAGTAGAAATAATATATTTGTCTATTTCGTACGTTGAANTACATCGTAAAGGTGCACCTGCATCCTGTGTACACTAACTTACGCTCGTTTATCTCCTTCCGCTCTTTCGTCCTGTTGAACTTATACGGAACAAAAAAAAAAAAAAAAAAAAAAGGAAAAAAAAAAAAAAAAAAAAAAAACAACGAGTGACCCGTTAATAGTTAAGTACTCCTCTGTACAACGTATTGTTTATCAAAAAATACAAAGCGCACACAAGTAAATTAATGTATGAATATTTTTTTGTTTGTTTTTTTTTTTTTACGAATGCAACTTTTATGTTTTGTTTTTCTTTACAACGTATCATCAGTTTTTCCGTGCAAACAATATGAAAGCGATGTGTCGGAAAAATAATAACATTTATGTACAGCCACACGAGTATTGTCGTTGAATACAAATCTCCTTCGAATTCACTGTAAACACGTAAACCTATCGAAATAAATTATTGTTTAAAATTAAAACATTTGAAAACCCTAGATGTTATTGTGCACCGCTCTCTTGGACACACGTATAGGTAGGTAGGTACGAATATGTTTAAAAAGGCCCAACCATGTTACGGTAATCGCGAGACGCAAACGAGCTCTTGAGTATATAAATTATAAATATGTTGCCGGTGGTAAATAATGTTCAATATGTATAGACGTAAGTAGCCGCGCATCATACGATTGGAGTATAATATATTGTTAGTTTTCACCGAGGCGCCACGTAGTAGGGCGCGGGCTGAGCCACGGCCGACATGTAGGGATGGTAAAACGAGTGACCGGCAGCCGGCGTAGCATTGACAGCCGTCGCCACAGTTGTAGTAGTAGTAGACGTGGTCGTAGTCGTGGTAGCCGCTGTCGTCGCGATCATCTGATGATGGTGGTGATGGTGCAGGTGGTGGTACTCGAGATCCTCGTGGGGTGCCGCGGTATAGGCCTCCGGCGCGTAGTACTGATGGCTGGGGTGGCAGTAGGGCTTGGCCACGACCCCGTAAGCGGTATACGCCGACTTGGGGTCCGGGTACTTTTGGGGCTCGTAGGAGCCGTTGCGCCCCTGTGGCGACTCGTAGCCGCTCTTGGCCTGGAATTCCCCGTACTTGAAGCCGTGATGGGGGTAGTGGTGGTGGTGCGACGCCGACGGGTCTGGGTAACGGTCGACTGCCGCCTCCAAGCACTTGCCTATACATACATTTCAAAACAGATGAGATTTTGTTTGCATGATTGTTTATTGCGCACTTGTTACCGTGAGCCAAGCCGTGCTGGTCGTAGGGGACGCGGGTTGGTAAATCGGCAGGAGCCACGTAGGCGGGAGCTACCTGGCGCTCGTAGCACGGCTTGCTTGGGTTTTCCGGATAGAGGCGAGCGTAGGCGCAATCGGAGCTCGAGATCGTTTCCACGTGGCTCGCGCTGTTGCGCTGCTCTTGGGCCGAGGGCATCGGGCAGGTAGACGGTGACTGCGGGTGCTCCTCCGACTTTGGTTTCCTCCGCCGCGGCTGATACTGAAAAAATTAGTTTAACCCTTTGTAGGGGGGAAAAAAAATAACATTACGGGAAAAAGAAAAAATTGAGGGATCACCTTGTAGTGCGGGTGTTGCTTTTTGTGCGCGCTTCTCAGCCGTTCCGCTTCGTCGATGAACGGCTGTTTCTCCGCGTCACTGAGTATCCTTCCAATAAAACAGAGGAAAAATTAATTTTAATTTTTTTTTTTAATTTTTCCAGTATGATCATCCCTTCGACACTCGACATGCAGAGCAACACACCGCACGCTAGTTGTTTAATTTTGCCCCAATCGAAACATGGGTAGCCCCAGTGATTAGGTATACATCCCGAAATGAAAGAGATTTTGAATAAGTATAGGATATAAATTAATGAAGAAAACACTGACCTCCACAGTTTGCCGAGGGTCTTGGACAGCTCGGCGTTGTGAAGCTGGGGATGCTGATCGGCGAGTTTCCGTCGGGCCGCCTGGGCCCACACCATAAAGGCGTTCATCGGCCTCTTCACGTGTGCACTTCGCCGGCCACTTGCTCGCGCCGTAACCGGCAGAAGCGTCCAGTCGTACCCTGTTGTTCACCAAACGCTCGTCATTACTCGCATCTTCCACCTCAAATTGCATTTTCAATAAACGCCGTTTTCATTCATTTTCATCCAACCGTACGGTCCATACCAACGTTGTTTGTATAACTTTTCACAAAATTCAGTGCAACAACACGAAAGTTACACCCATGCTATACCCATGACCAATATTTTTACACTAGCGCAATCCAAAGATAAAACAGTAGCCGATGGTGGACGACATAATATGTATTGTAATTTATAACGCGCCGCAGTATACATCGTAAAGGTGCACCTGCATCCTGTGTACACTAACTTACGCTCGTTTATCTCCTTCCGCTCTTTCGTCCTGTTGAACTTATACGGAACAAAAAAAAAAAAAAAAAAAAAGGTGTAAAAGTAAAGGTGAACGATAGCGTTTGTCCCACGCTTAGCGTCCAAAAAATTGTTTTCCTCGGATATACACTCAACGGTACAACTCAAGTATTTGTACATGTACACAGCCAACTTGGGCCGCCGCCGAAAATAATCGTCGTGCAGGCTTATCGAGTCGTCGCGCGCGAATCCGAGAATCTCCAAAGTACGGGGTCCTGCGAAACGTATAAAGAGAGAGAGAGAGAGAGAAAAAAAAAATGTGTGTCGGCGTGCAAGTTGTCGCACGAAGACGACCAAGTATATATATTGGTACATGTGCTTTTGCCTAAAGGGGCTAATTGCCGTTCGCGTTGACACGGTCCAGCGACGCGGTGTCCTCTGTTGTCTCTTGGTTGTCGTTGTTCTGTCCCCGTCGTTTTTTTTTTTTTTTTTTCCCTCCTGCAGCCATCGGGTGTCGCGGAAAGAACGCCAGGAATAACTTTACCGTGAAAGGCCCGACGAGCCGCGACGCACCCGATTGTGTTGGTCCTTCGCGTCGTCCTACGTGCATCACGTATATATATATATATATACGTTTGGGCGTGTGTGAAAATATATCCTGATGTGTGATGCTTTTTACGCGGAAGCTGCGCGATTTATATACGTACGTAAGGTATCGCCAAAGACGTTTGCGGCCACTTTCGATGATTTGTGACTTTGAATTCGGGAAAGGATGCTCGAGCTCCGCTTATTTGCTCCTCGTTTCTACGAGAGAAGACGTTGGGTGTATAATCCACCGGAGGGTGTTTCTTACTCTCCCTCTCTCTGTCTCACCCTTGAAATCGCTTACTTTTTTGCAGCCCGAAACTGTTCGTCCGATGAACTAAAAAATTTCCGCGTCAACCCTTGCCCCCGGATGATTTAAATAAGTTTAAAATGTAGAATTTTTTACGCGTTAATGCTCCAATCGAACAAAATTTTTTTTTTTTTTTTTTTCATAAGTTTCGTGGAACTACTCAAAAATCATGAAATTATTAAAAATAAAAGTCTAGGCAGACTAGAACATTATAGCAGATATACACTAACCCGTGATAACGCTCTAAATCTGAGAATTTGGTTCTTAAAGATCGCCAAAACTTAAAACGGCCGTATCTCCGTAAATAATGGAGATAGAGCGAAATAAGGCTTAATTNAAAAAAAAAAAAAAAAAAAAAAAAAAAAAAAAAAAAAAAAAAAAAAAAAAAAAAAAAAGAAAAAGAAAAAGAAGCAAGGAAGAAAGCAAAAAAAGCAGCTGAACCACTTATACACCTAATCGGGCAGGTGGCACGTGTCGCGGTGATTTGGTGGGGGCAAGGCCGCGGGCACGGATAAAGGGAGTCTTACTCCGAGGCAAAGCAAAGAAGAAGAAGACGCATCAAAGACACGCAACAAGGATCCCCGTTGTATATGGGATATATATATGGGTGTACACACACACGGTCCGAGTGAACAAGTCCCGTGTGTTTTTGGGCTTTCATCGATATTTTGCGCGTATGCATTAGCAGAGAACCAGGAAGATCTGTCGCGTGTCGTCGTACGGTCGTATCGCTCGTAACATAATATTATATACGTGTATACACTGATTGTGAGTTAAGAACGGGCCGTTTAGCTATAATTGATCTGCGATGACGATATACGATGTCTCGTTGCCGACACTCCCCGACTCTGGGCGGGCCATTTCAATTACAGACAATGGGGACTCGATTCCATCAAAATCCAACTTTTCGCCATCTCGGCTTGATTGACTTATCAGAGTCTTCAATGTACACGTTAATTGCACCTACATGCATGTATATGGGTAAAGATCGGTAATTAAAACAACATTCCCGACTCTCTATTTTCGCGTGAGCCGCGCGGCGATATTCGTCTTAATTAATCCGAAAAGCCCTGTCGGGGCAACGAGATTCACGACGCCCCTGACGTGTACCATAACGCGCATAAATATTCGCCAGAGCGCAAAATTAATTCAAAGCCACGCGGTCGTTCTCTACACAGTTTTGCGCTCATTATTCGGCTGGTGGGTTACGTAACATTTATACACTGGGGCGGGCGGGCGGGGGGGGGGCATACGCAGGTACAACGTGATATACATCATAGCCGATCTCGTTTCCAACATCGAAGTAGAGTTAGTTATAAGTATGTACGAGGGAAAACCGGGCGCCCGGCCGCATACACTATTTCGATGCCCACACATCAGAGCCGCGGCAGCCGGCAAACGAAACAGAGATATAGAGAGAGTGAGAGAGCGCGGGTGTGCGTCTGGGCGGGCGATAAATAATCGTGAGAGGGAGATAGAGCTGCTGGCTGAACGTGTCAGATTTAATTCGGGATGGCCCGAGTAATTAGTGGGAAAGAGCGGTAGAACGGTCGCGCTCCGCTCGCAGCACCTGCGCGCGTGTCTACTTCTTCTTCGGATGTGTCTCTTTTCCCCCTATACCGATCGGCCTCCCCAAAGCGCCCCATATACATACACTTCGGGGGCATTGATAGCACGGGGTATATACCCTCGTTACGCTCCGAGTGCCGAAACTTGCATTACAAGTTGACGTCATTAACGCTCTCGTCGCGTAAATTAGCACCCGGTACTATATATGTATAAATGCCCCCAAGTGTCTATACATACATGCATACACCTCTAGTCGCTCGATTTTTTCTTTTTCTTTTAAGCTAATATATATTATATAGGTGACGATTTCCATCCCAATAGATTAATTTAATCGGATCGGACGGCAAGTGAGGTTTCGTTAAATGGTGGGGTAGGTACGTACGGGCGTCAAATGCTTTTCAACACATTGTTAGGCGAGTGAGTGGCCCCAGTGTTCGGGGGCTTGAATAGCCCAAAGAGCGCGCTCGCCCATGCGGACAGAGGCACCGGGTAGGATGCCAAAAGTTGCCACATTGCAAGAGCATCGGTTCGAAAGGCTTTTTGTTTTATCATCCCTGCGTTACTATCACCACCCGATGCGCGCGATGTAATCGATCGTTGACCAACACAACTGAAAATCTTGTTGCAGGGCACCCGGACGCGACGAATCGGCTCGGTATGTATGTTTGGTTGGAGAAGAAAAGTCGAGACACCGGAACAGCGGAGGGAGCCCCGAGATGATTATCATCGCCCGGGTAAATCCGGTACCGGGAGGGAGAGCGATGGCCGTCAGGGAGCGCGTATCGGTAAAAAACAAACACGACTCGGCCGCTGCGCTCGAGCTTTCAGCGCCAATTAAAACGTCCTCGGCAAACGAGCTTTGGCTCGCGCTGCGCGTGTATATATGTATATAATACGTATACGATGCGTGGCTGGGCGTTCGGCAGAGCCCGACACGCCGAATCGACTTTGAGATGCATCGTCCGCGCGACGTGCCCGCCCGATTTAGCCGGATTTCTTAAATTGTTTTTTTTTTTTCGGCCTTTTGTTCGTATATACACGAAAACCGGGGGTGGGTTCGCAAACTCTTTTTCTTTGGATCACCACTTGATAATTGTCGTGATCTCTATTTCGTTTAAATGTAAAAAAAAAAAAAAAAAGAAACAAATTCTACTACCTTGCAGTAACTTGCCAACGGCGTCGTCCAGCGAGTTTGGCTCGCGACTCGACTGGCCCGCGGGCTTGGGTTTCACCAGCATCCCGTTACGCCCGGTCTCCATATCTCTTGTATCGGCAATTGTGTCCGTCCCTTTTCGAGCTCCGTTTTTATTTTTGCTTCCACAAAGATCCGTAGATATTCACCAATCACTCCTTGGAGTCAGCCCCGCCGAGCGATGATCCATTGTCCGCGAAGACTCGACGGTCGGGCGTATAGAGATGATTGGTACTCATCGAGGCAAACACTTGATTTTCCCGCATGTGCACTCCCTCGGGGTTAGGAAAAAAAAAAAGGAAAGGCACGGGGGGTAAAAACGGTCACTCCTTGGCGAGACGGGGTCTCTCGAAAGTATAGAGACTTGGTCCGGGTGAGCGCGAGGATGACGCGGCCGCGATGAAAATACAACTGGGCGCGCGCGCGAGGGGAGCACACACGTGCGCCGACGATCAGAGAGAGAGAGAGAGAGAAGGGGCTCGAGATAGGTATACAACCCACCGTGTGTGCCGTACCCCGCGGGAGGAAGACCTAGCGAGCGAGAGAGGACAGATGTAGAGAGAAAGGCGGGAGCACCGCCGAAGATATGGACCACCTCTTCGCTCGCACCCATCACCTAATCGCCCTGAAACAAAACGGGTATTCCATGCAGGTGAACCGGATCGTCGCGGGAGCATCGAAAGATCGGTAACGGTTATGTACCGGGGGTGAAAAATCATTCATTATTTTAAACGGAAAATGATAAAACAGGAGTAAAATAGGATGAATGAAAGAGCCAACGGGTGTGAAAGAAATGAGAGGGAGAGAGAAACGGTAGCCCAAAAGAGGTGTTAATTTAAGGCAAACACGCGAGGCCTCGCAGTGCCACAACTGAGGAGCCCATTGTCGCGGTGGACCGCGAGCGCGGCTACCGTATACACATAAAATGTCCAAGCAGTGCCGGCTTTTAAAATGTCCTTACAATATACACACACGCACGCA